TTTTCGAAATCCATCACCACGATTCCGCAGCTGCTAGGTCCCGGTCCCCGCGTCCTGGGCAAGGGGTGTCCAGCCCTGAGCAGCCCTGAACAGTGAGTCCAGGCGCCCTGGCTTCCGGTGCCGCCGCCACCCGTCCCCCAGGTAGCGCAAGAGTAACGCCTTTCAGCTGGGCCGCTGGCCAGAAGAAGCGTCGGTCTCGCTGGGTCCCAGGCAGCCCCTCTCCCTCCCCTCCCCCCATTCACAAACCACTCCGGGGGCGAGCCCTCGAGTCCAGGGCTGCCCAATGGCAGCCTTTGTTTTCTGTGCGGCAGCGTTCGGATTGGGTGGAAGTCAGAAGGGGGCCGGAGAGGGAACCTGAGAGGCGGTGTCTGCAGCGCTCTGGGCGGATTCCTGCGGGGAGGGGCGGGGGGCTGGGAGAGAAAAGTTAAAAACTTTTACCCCTGAATTCGCTCGGTGTTGGGGGGGTACGCGCACCAGAAAGGGAGTTTGCTTGAGAGAGTTGTTCCTCTTCTGGGTGCACGAAAACACACATCCCTGAATGGCGCATCGGGATAGACTTTTTCGGGGAGAAACTGAGAATAACGCAGCGCCTGAGCAGAGAGAGTCGCGGTAGCCCTTCTAGGTCTGAAAATGCTGGGTTTCTCGGGACTTTTAGGCAGCCGGGTCCTACTAGTAGGGTTCAGTAAGGGGCGAAAGGGGGTGCACCTCGCAGATCGCTTTTCTCTCCCCAGACCCCAACACACCACGTGAGGCCACATCTCCTCTCCCCCCTACTCCGGGTTGTAAAAAAGGAGGAGGGGCCGCAGCGAGGAGAAAAGGGAGTCGAGAGGAGGGAGACGACTAAGGCGGGAGGAAGGGCAGACCCCTCCTCCGAGAGCGGCGGGAGCAGGGGACCCTGGCCCCAGACTACCCCGCCCGCGCGCACGGCCCGGAGTACAGGGTTGGGGGGTAGCTTTAGTGAGGTTTTAAGAAAACGAAGCGTTGGGGGTGAATGGTTATACAAGTACCCCGAGCCCGAGTGCCTAGGAACACTGTACGGGTTAAAGCGAGGTTTCAATGGCCCTGTTTTCCCATCTTAGTTGCAGGAGCAATACTTTGATCCTCTGTTTGGAATCTGGGAAGAAAAGTTTTAATGCGTGTTAGAAAACAGGGCATGTGCTAATTAAAGAGTTTTCAAAAACACAAAGAGAGGTAATTTTAGTTCTCGGGTAGCGTTTTCTGATTGGCAAGCGTCCTTTTGTTCCGTCACATCTTCGCCCCGCTCCAGGCACTGGACGCCAGCGCGCGCTCTCGGGTTCCTCCAGGCGAGGTCAGAAGTTGCCGCGCGCGGGCGGGGGTCCCGGCGCCTCTCCCCTCTCGCGGGGCAGCCGGGAACATCAGGCATCCCCACGCAGGAAAGTGACATGTTGAGAAAGGAAAGATCTGCCGCTCTCTGTCGCACACGCAGCCACAGAGCAATCCTATACTTTAACAAACGTTCCTCCTGGCCGAGCCCTTCCTCCTGGCGCTGGAGCCCCGAGGGTTTCTGATCGGGTTTCGTGTTTGCAGAAGTTGCTGCCTCTGCTGCCCCCGGTGAGCCTCTTCTCTAGCAGGGAAAAAAATGATCCCGAAATCTAGGACAATTAATTGGGTTCCTTCCCTTTCACGGGAGACTTCGGCTTCCTCCGTGTTTCTTTTATTTTCTTTATTTCCACAGTTCTTTGTCGTTCCCCACTCCTGTTAATGCGACTGGAGGGCTGAATCACTTGGGCCAACGTAAGGCACCAGACGCTCGCATTTTTCCATCGGACCCTCAACAGGAATCCTCATCGTTTTCTTCCAAAGCATCCGTCTCCCCCTCACATCCACGACGGTATTTTTAATTTACTTGGGCGTTTCTGCCTCAAGGCAATATGAAGGATTAATGACATTTGCTTCTAAAATGTCTCATTTCTTCCTTGTATTTTTTTAAGGGCTCCTCTTTTTTCTTCCTAAATTGATATTCTTATTACCTAACCTTGGGGAGCATTGATGCTGTGTTGAAAGATGTTGCTTAAAGATAGTGCTGCTGCTTTGCTTTGTCATTTAAAGTGTGTGGTGGTGGTGGTGGTGCTGGTGGGGGGTGGGGGGTGGGGCGGTTGAAAATCCTTTTTTCTCTTCACGAGCTTCAGGATATCCTCCTTTTCTAAATCAAATTTTCTTGCTTATTCATCAGGCCCCTGATCTAAGTCACCTTTGCTTATTGTGGGAGAAATTGCAAGCACCGTCATCAAATAACATGAAAACCGACAGGATAAAATACTGTGTCTCAAATGCAACTAAAACCAGTTTAGTTGATGAGCTTCTATTCAGATTATAGACCCAGACAGCTCCCTGGTGTTAGGTAATAGGGATAATTATTTAAAAAGAAAAGTACAAAAGATGAATCCAATATTTTAAAACCAATCTACACATAAGATGCAGAAAACCCATCCCAGGTGGAAAAGATCACAGAGGAGTGTCTTCTTGCTGTGTCCCAGGCAGACAAGTATAAAAAACAGAGAAGCAAAACCCAATTCAGTGGAGAGTGTTTTGTTTTTAAGATGATTCAAAAAAAACCCACACCTCACTCCAAAATTATTCTGGAAAAATAAGAATTTGCTCTTTGTGAGAGGGTGGGGTAGCCTTCCATGCCTCTCCTGATATAGAATGTTAGGATTTCCAGGAGATAAGTTAGATCAGGAAAGTGAATTCGCAATTTAAGGGGCTAACGAGTCTGTTTTAGCCTCTTTGAGAAATGTAGTAACATTGGTTCACATTCTGCCCAGGATCAATTTATGTTCTTTTCCAAGCAACACCTTCCACACCCAATTCCCGAAGCCACTAGCTGGTATCTTCCTTGGTGAGCTGAGGGTGGAACGTTTTGTAACTGTCTGCTGCAGAACTTCCAATTGTCCCTGCCCTTTAAAACAACAAAGGCTTTTATTTCTTCACGTCACAGCCATATGGCCCCACAGAAAAGTGATGCTACTCTTTGGCCCCAGGTATTTAAGTGCTACTTATTTTGGCCAAGTCCCGGGTTCATCTAGTTGAATTACATTCTGATGTCAGGCCAGATTTGAAAATGGCCACCTTCGTGGTGCCACAATCCTGTGGTTGTAGCGAAACTCCAGCTGCAAGAATTACTCATGCAAGACCAGAGAGGGCAGCTTGTAGCATCGTGTCTACTTCCCTTTCTGGCCTCTCTTTTACCAGATAATTTGTGACTTCATAACATAGAGGACTTTTGAGTTGCCAGTTGCCAGGTTGCCATTGACTTACTTCCTTTCCGTGTAGTTTGGGGTGTTGGATCAATCTCAAAATGGGAACGGTCTTACCCTGAAAGCAGGCTTTTAAGTGTTATGAACATTAAAGATTGAATAAGAGGAGGCCATGCTAAAGTCCTGTTAGGAGTGCGAGGCCCCACCCAGTGGAGGTGATTTATATCATGAAAATGTTTGACTATTGCCTTTGTGGCTTGAGGGTTGCATTAGTTATCTGTTGTCATATGACAAATTACCTCAAAATGTAACAAAACAAACGCTATTGCACAGTTTCTGTGGGTCAGAAATCTGGGTGTACTTAGTGGGTCTTCTGGCTTGGGGTCTCCCATGAGACTACAATCAGAGAGTTGGTTGGGACTATAGTTACCTCAAGGTTTGATTCAGGAGGATCTGCTTCCAAACTCACTCATGTGGCTACTGGCAGGCCTCAGGGTATCCATTTCCAACTCATCACATGGCTGTTGGCAGGCCTCAGGTTCTTGCTAGCTGTCAGCCAAAGACATCAGTTCCTTGCGATGTGGGCATCTCATAAGGCCACTTAAAACATGGTACCTTGTGCCCTGGCCAGTGTGGCTCACTTGGTCGAGCATTGTCCCCAGCACTGAAAGGTCGCCAGTTCAATTCCTGGTTGGTGGTTGGGGCACATGCACAGGCTTTGGGCTCGATCTCCGGGTCGGGGTGTGTTTGGTAGGCAGCCAATCTCTCTCTCTCTCTCCGTCACTCTAAAATAAAAACATATTTAAAAAACATGGCTATTCTGGATTAGTTTCCTCAAGAAAATAAATTACATAAATATGAAAAAAAAATAAACATGGCACCTTGTTCCCCCAGAGCAAGTGCTGAGAGAGAGAGAGAGAGAGAGAGAGAGAGAGGAGAGAATGAATGAGGGGCAGAGAGCTCTCTCAAAAAAAAAAAAAGGCAATGGAAGGCGTAGTCATTCTATAACCTAATTTTGGAAGTGACATCCTGTCACTTTTGCCATATTCTATTCATTAGAAGCAAGTCACTAGGTTTATCCACACTCAAGGGACAGCAGGGGCTACACGTGGGCATGGAAATCCATTGAAGGGTGAGGATCACTGGAAGCCAATTTAGAGACTGTTTATTGTAAGTATTATTCATTCACTCCCAAAGTACTATGGAAGTGTGGCCAGAGAGAGAAACAACTCTTGGGTCTCTGCCCTCTGGGAGTCCGGAGAAAGGTTCACAAATAAAACCATATGTCGATTGGTTCTGACACCACTTGCCTCTGTTAGAATCAGAACAGAGCTCTAACTCTGGCCAACTGTTTTTTTCCAACACATGCCATTGGACTAGAGGGAGAAAGAACGCAGAGGAAGTTGATTAATTGAAGACCACACACAACCCCGGGGAAAACCTCCAAGTGCAGAGGGTGGGACGATTTGGGTTGTGAAATCTATACTCAAAGGACAGAACATTAGATAGAATATAGCATGTAGAAAGAGAGTTTGGGTATTTGGGTTGTGAGGTAAAAGTACCTTTGGTGATTGCTACCCATGCCTAGTCTGTAGGGTATTGTATTGATGGATAGGAAGGGTGTCAGAGGCAGTACAGACCAGTTTAGTTCTGCTTTTCAGCATCGATTTTCTGCCCTGCCTCAGGCAAGTCACTAAACCTCCCAGGGTGCTGTGAGAATGAATGAAATAATATTTATAAGATTTTTTGTGGTCTATGGGCAAAAACATCAAGAGGGCAGAATCCTGGTTTATTTTATCTTTATGGATGCAAATCATAGCGATAAAATAAAAGACCAAGTTAGGTGCATATTTTGTGGTTTTGGTTTTTTGCTGAAGTTGTAACTTTTTACAGTGGTATGTTGGTAAATGTTTAATGACCAATTTTATAGGAAGAAAGCCCTGATCTATATACACTTGCCAATTTCCATGGTGTAAATACTGCTACTAGCACTGATTACCAAACAACTGAACTTGGAGTTTGGAAAAGATGGACATCAGCAGCTCTGACAAGCCTCAAAGAGCTGGCTGTAGCACACACCACTGGGTGAAAATGCACATCTCTTCTGACTGTCCCCTGGTGGATGGGCCCACAGCTGTGGAAGGCTGACCTCCAAGGATTAGTGCCAGCCCGGGAGAGGCATCCATTCAGGGTTGACTAACAAGGCTCAGCCTTGCAGCCACCTTCCTCTTGCTCATGTTTTAGATAGAATTGAAAAAGATACCTCCTAGGATTGCAATTGATACCAAGTGATTGCAAAAGTGTTGCAGGGTAGGACTTATCGGTAAAG